GGTTTCCTACCATTCCCATACATTCGAAAGTGACTTGCCCTCTGAAAAATACCATCCTATACAACCATTTCAGGCGTAACATTTGGTAACGGCACAAAAGATTTTGTAAACAAAAGTTGTAAGGCACCTTACATGCGAACCGAAGAACGCCCACATAAAACAACATCATCGGTTGGAGGAAATTTTCTCCTTTCCGATAATTGTATTGGTTTGCGTGTGCGTACTTCGGTTTGCGTGTAAAGGGCCTGACAACTTTTGTATAACAAAGTTTTTGTGCCATTATCAAATGTTACGCCTGATTTCTCCAGTATCACCAGCATGATAAAAGCACAAACGAAGTGACTGACGGAGCGGCTTGAAAACTTTGGTGACGAACGTGCTTTTGCATTTTTTCAGTGTACCGCATGGCAACACTACTACCAGGGGGTGGAAACTAACGATTTAAATTGATTCACTGCTTGAGTAGCCTATTGGTCCCAAGTACTTCTATGGCGTACCCCATTCTAGTTGAAATTCTATTACTACACTATGTTTGTTTTGATTCGCTATGAAAGTTTGACAGATAACATCAGGGGTGTGTGGATTCATGCAGAACATGCAGGGGTGAGTGAAATAGCTTGGGACTGCTTGGGACCGTTGTTCTGGTACTGAGTGAGCCAAAAATAATAATGATTTTCTTCGGGACCCAGTTGTCTTAGAGTTACCTCTATGCTACTACTGCACGCAGAAAAAAATATTTTAAAAATAATAATATTTGACGTAAATTTAATAAGAATTTCATTTTGTTTTGGCTGCAAAATGAAATCATTATTATTTCAACAATGCAGTATCTTTGTTTTTAAAAACCCATGGATTGTTAATTCAAAAAGAAAATCTTTTCGAATTTACAAGAGCTTTTATGGTTTTGACGTAAGCTGTCAAATTTGGCAGCTGGGTCAACAAAAAATATGTTTGTTTTTAAAAGAGATTTCTTGTTGATTCAATCATATTTATTTTATTAAGCCTAAAAATATACGCAGTAGAAATAAAAATATGTTTATTGATTCAATTTTTAATAATTTGCGATTATTTTTATGTTTTGTTTTCTATTTGTTACCAACAGAATTACAATTGAATTAAAAAAAAACTTTCTGAGGCATAAAATCTCTCCGGTTCATGAGTTGACGGGTCGATAGGTAGGGTCCAGGTGTGGGAGCGGCCTTCCTGGCGTCGGGAGCATTGGTACTCAGTACTGAAAATAAGATCGACGGAAAAAATCACGGAAAAAAAAACTGTTTATATTTTGCAACAGCAGCATACTTACTTACCTCTAAAGCTGAATCAAACGAGAAATTTTTTGTTATTGTTTACATTTTTTCACGAGGGAATGGTTGGTAGTTATTTTTGCATTTATGGCCAAATAAATGTGGCTTATTAAAACAAAAAGAATCTTATTTTGAATTTATTTGAATAAATATTATCGAAACAATAAAATGCAATATAATTTCACTCGGAATTGTTTGTTTAAATACAAATAAAGTTTTTTTTGGTTCAATGCAAACAATTTTCTGTCCGTGTGGATTATACTACATGGCAACACCAAATTTACTATAATGTTTTGGTTCTATCTCTTTCACTCTACTAAAAACTGAAATGCATATAAAAATGACAAAATGATACACTCTTTGCACATTGTCGAATATCAATGTACACAAAATCAACTTTGTTCAAATAAAAACATACTACTACATACTAGACCATCTGGTGGATGATGGCACAAGCTTTTAAGAAAATTCTATTGGCGTTGACGGCACCGTCGAAAAATTTGCTCTTCCAGCAAATATATACAGTTTCTTGTGGGCATTTTCGGTGAAGTGAAACACGCAGAAAAAAATATTTTAAAAGTAATAATATTTGACGTAAAATCAATAAGAATTTCATTTTGTTTTGGCTGCAAAAAGAAATCATTATTGTTTCAACAATCCAGTATTTTTGTTTCTTAAAACCCATGGATTGTTAAATCAAAAAGAAAATCTTTTAGAATTTACAAGAGCTTTCATGGTTTTGACGTAAGCTGTAATTTGGCAGCTGGGTCAACAACAAAAATATGTTTGTTTTTAAAAGAGATTTCTTGTTGATTCAATCATATTTATTTTATAAAGTCTGACAATTCACGCAGTAGAAATAAAAATGTGTTTATTGATGTAAAAATAATATGGCATTTTTTTTTATGTTTCGTTTTCATTTGGAAACAAAATTGCAGAAATTGTAATTGAATTTCTGAGGCATAAAATAAAAGCCCCGGTTCATGAGTTGATGGGTCGATATGTAGGGTCCAGATGTGGGAGCTGCCTTCCTGGCGTCGGGAGCATTGGTACTCAGTACGGAAAACAAGATCGACGGAAAAAATAAAGGAAAAAAAAAAAACAGAAATATTGATTATATTTATCAACTGCAGCTCGAATTGCAGCATACTTACTTAACTCAAGTCTCAAGATTTTCGAAAATCTTGCACTTATTTCCCGAAATTTACAATTAAAAACAATACTTACGTGGAACGCGTAGGTATTTTTATTGTTTACATTTTTGTCCGGGTGAAAACGAGGGAATGGTTGGTAGTTATTTTTGCTTTCATGGCCCAGAGAATGGACACAGCAAATAAATGCTAAATTAAAATTAACTATTGTTGGCTTAATAATAGAATATTGTTATTTTTACAATAGTTGCATTTGAAAAGTGGCTGATTAAAACAAAAAGAATACTATTTTGAATTTATATGAATAAGTATTATTGAAACAACAAAAAGCAATATAATTTCAACTGGAATTGTTTGCTTAAATACAATTAAAGATTTTTTTGGTTCAATGCAAACAGTTTTCTGTCCGTGAAGGATAGTACAAAGTCCGAAATGTTTCACGCACAGTCTGACGTTTGCTTATGGATTTTCTCATAGGAGTAAAGAGCTACAGAGTCGCCGTCATCGCCAATTACAGTGAACTACATTATTTTAATTTGATTTCTTCGCCAGTTAGTTGTCTGTCACTTAGTACATTTAATTCCACTTAATTAATTTTGGTATCTATGACAGATCCGTATTTCGACTACAATCTGAAGTCTTCACCAGTGTCAATCCCACTTAAGGATTTTCAAAATCTAACCCTCTTAAGCACTAATCTCCTAGGTAAGAATGTCAAGATCACAGGTATATAAATGAAACTATAATGTGTAAAATCGGAACCTAACTTTTTGAGATATTGTTGCGCTTATGTTAAATTCTCATTTGATGACGGTCGAAGCGCGCTGCAACCCCGCTCATAAGGATTCTACACAGGTGTAATCTGTGAATAATACAGTTTTGTTTTGTTTCGTGCGAAAGTTCAAAATGAAGTGCAAAGCTAATCTTTGCAACAATAAATCAAGGAGTTGTTTGAGCTATATTTCCTTCTTCCGTTTCCACGAAATAAATCAGAGTGTGAAGTGTGGAAAGCGTTTTGTGCTCATAATATTACAATACTTCTCCCGCAAAAAATACCATGATGACGTCGTGCTCGTTTGGCTACACTAACTGACAGTTCGTTTGGCTTCATTCTGCTTTGCCTCCCCTTATCTATGGAATCTGTAATTTTCTTACACTATGCGCATCGTAAACATACCCAGTGTCGTAAAAATACCAGGGTTCATTAGAGTGTAATGGAAGTTTACGCACTTACCAGGCTGTATACGTTTACGATGCGCTTTGGGAATACCCTTATTATTAAACCAATTGTTGTTCCGAAAGAACCCTTAGGATTCCACAATATTGATCCTAGAATGCTAAAATTACTCAATCCAAACATATAAAAAAGGTTTTAGCACGTGTCGTGACCGGACCGAGGTTTCCAGCCTCGGTCACGGCTACACGAATCTCGGCGGATTCCACTGCTGCTGCTTATGCTGACTGCTGCTGGTGTGTTGCTGTGCTGCTTTTCCTGCTGCTGCTGCTGCTTGTCCGTCGCCTTTAAAATTCGTCACAAGAATGTTTCAACGAATTTAGGTTGCATGTATTTATACCCTACGTAACTTCCCCTGCTTTACCCTGCGCTGACCACTGTGTCGGGATTTCCAATCACAAAGTAAAATTTTGTTCCCAAACTCTCTTCTTTACTTTCACTTCTACCATCTTTCACGCTAAATAGATTCTACTCATATTGAATGTTTAATTACTTGATTTAATTCTCAAATTGTTGTGCCTTCAAATGAAGTCATTTATTTGTCATTATTATTTCACATCAATTCTATCTACCACAGCATGTAGTACTCAAAAAACAATTTCCGTTTAATCCCATTCCAATTAAGTGTAATTAAGATTACGAGGGCTTACACGTTTACGATGCACTATGCAGATACCACTAATCATCTTCAAGATAAAGTGAATATGATAATGTAATTTGCTTCAGTACTATAGCTGAGGTCATATAATATATGCCACGGATACACTTGAATGACAAACTACGAGCGTGAGCATTATTTGTATAATAAATCATGAGCACATCCACACTTGTATAGTTTTTGCATTTGCTCATAATTTATTACACAAATACTGCTCATGTTCATAGATTGCATGTAAGTCTTGAAATGAGCTTCCATATGCGTACCGGAAATCATAGGTTTGACTTTCGATATCAAGATAGTTTATATTCGTGATATACACCCATATTCTTGTTTTCGTTCGAACAGAACTTTACAAAAAATGAACGGTTCGAATGAATACAAAAATATGGGTTATAGTCTGAGCGTACTATTAAGCACAGGAAAGTTGTTGTTTTTTTCCCCATGGCGACAATTGACAGTGTGAACCCACTGCTCTTATTAAGAAATATGTGCGTTAATGGTATGTAGTCATGATTTATTTTAACTACTTTTATGAGATTTTTTAATGTTTGTGCCGCCAATCTACTGCAGAACCAATATGAAACATTTATGCGAACATTGCATAATGAAACGATGTACATTTTGCTCCAATACATATATATAAATCTCACCTTTTCCTATGTGCACGATTAATTGGTAACTCGACGTGTGTATAAAGATGTTTGTTCGTTTCAGTTGCTGCTAAACGTTATGTTGTTCATTGTACTGTTTTCTTGGACTCTGCAACTTTTAGCACGTTTTAGTTTTTTTATTTCAACCATTTCTCATCACAATGCACAAATAATTAATAATTTATCATTTTTTTTCAATTATACATTTAGAACACAGCTTGACGGTTTGTCATTAGACGCGACGAACCGAAGTAGACATATGTGCTGCACCACATTAACAGGTTCACGTGTAGAGCGCACCAAGCTTTACCGAATACTAGTCTTGTGGGTTTCAAACAAGTTTCTCGTGTAGCACGAGAAATCCCCTCTAGCTGAAGCGCGATCGCTTTTGGTTTGTACAGCAAGACCTGACTGTGTATAGCCGTACATATTGTACGTTCACTGCACATTAAAGATATACTTCTGTAACATATAGGGGAGTGTTCCAGTATTAGTAAAGTTTCTATGGTTACCGTATGGGAATTTTACTCAAACAAATAAAAAAAAACTCACATGCTTTCACATTCAGTTGATTTTATTTATAGTTTGAAAATATGGTAGATCTGTAAAAAAGAAAATTTTAATTTACACATTTGCTTAAGATTTAAGCCTATTTAACTTCCTATACCTATGACTAGAACAGGTTCCAATAGTAGCGTAGAAAACCTTTTCTACATATAATCTCAAATCAATACACTATGCATTATAAATTACCGACTGCACCCTATTGCTCCGAACAACCAATAACTAGGGTTACCATATGGTATCCTAAAGGAGGACATATCCTCCTTTTTCAACAATTTTTCTACATCCTCCTTTTGCCCGAAAATGTCCTCTTTTTTAATAACTGCATTTTTCCGGTAACATATTTTTAAAATTGTTTACAAAGAGCGTTTATGCAGAGCATATTTGTTTAATTAAATCGCATCCTAATCATTTATAGCAAATGCCATTCCATAGTGGGATCAGCAATATACTACAGTTGTGAACCCCCCTACATTTAGGATGTGGTTCATTTGGTGAATTTCCACTTAAAATTGACAGATGGAAAATTTTAAAATAAATCTGCTATTCTACCAGACTTATGTCTGACCGACCAAGGATCAATTTTGACAAACGATTCCTCGAAATTCGGATGATCAACAACATAGAGATTTTCTATCTATATAATTTATTTTCGAAGCGTCAAGTTTAAGTGAAAATTCACCAAATCTCGATAACGTTTTCGAAGGGACGTATCAGCTTTTGAAAACAATGCATTTGATCGTCGATTTGGCGTAACTGGTAGCTTGCCCACGAATACTAACACTGCCCTCAAATAGGGGGAAATTTCCTCTACCTGATTGTGGTGTTAGAGCCTTAGACTGTGTTCCAATGTTATAATGTTCGAAAACCCCTCTCTTGTTGGTTGACCGATTGTCGAGAAGGTGTTTGTCAAAATTGATTGTTTTTCTGTCTGGATTGTCTTATGAAATACCAGGGTTATTTGATAATTTCCCATCTTTAAAATGTAAGTGAAAATTTACCAAATGGAACGCAGCAAAAGTGTGTTCGATTTTGACGCTCTGGTTCTATGGGATGTTAGGTATTGGTTTAGAGTCCTATGCTGAATCAATGGTAAAATTAACAGATTGCTTAGATTTTCCTTTTCATGTTGGTTTCAATCAGCGGTGGCATGTATCCTGATTTTTGTACATGATAAAAGAAGGGATGGTTTTTAGGCTGTAAAGCTGTAGTTTTCATGCAAAACCGCTAGACTAGATCATTTTCTATAGTCTTAAAAATAAATTATTAAGTTTGATGCATTTTTCAGAAGAATAACGAGAAGATGAATTGAATTGATAACGACTACAAGTAATGAACAATCTTAATTGATAAAAACTCATTGTCCTCCTTTGATGTTAAGAAAAGGAAACATTGTCCTCCTTTATCTCCAAACCTAAAACGAAATGTCCTCCTTTTCAAGTTTTTGATATGGTAACCCTACCAATAACCAATCAGTGATACAGGATGGGAATTTAGTAAAAAAGCAGTCCTTTGGTTTAATATTGAGACATTTGGTGTCTCGGTAAAGTTTTTGTAGGTGATCATCAAAAAAATTGATAAGCAAAAACTAACTTTCTTATTTTTTAAATGATATTGTAGTTGTTGTTGTAGCTAATTTCAAGCAACTTTGCTGAAGAAACATGTTTATATCTCTTAACGTTCAAATGTAGGTAAGAGCATTTTTCTCGAATTAAATTAGGGTTTACTTGAAAAAAAAAATTGTTTAGCTCTAAATCTTTTGTTTAAATTTCTTTTGAAAGTTATATATCCTTTAGAGGCACATACTTGCAATTAAAAAAAAACGGTAAAAAAACACACACAAAAAAATCAATTGGAACTTTGAAAGGGGGGGGGGGGGTATTTTTCTGAGTATTAAAAATCTCTGGTCAAGAGGAGTAAAGGTCCTAGCCCATGTGTGTTGAATGGGTGCTATATCCTACGCAGGTGTGCCTCACTGCACATTCGATTGTCGTCAATCTCTGATGGAAGTGTTAGCATGCGTGGCCGAGCTACCAATTACGCCAAATCGACGATCAAATGCATTGTTTACAAAAACTGATACGTCCCTTTGAAAAAGTAATCGAGATATATCTCGCGAACGATTTGTTTGATCGAGATGGTGTCTTCCATGAAGATGCGGACAAGTATTGTGCCTTTCAAGAAAAAATATCCACTGTTTAAAATTATTTTATTATTTACAGAAAAATCAAAATTATTAAAAATAAATAAATTTACTCAAATTGCATTTTTTTTTTATAATCATATTGTAGTTTAGATAAAGTGCTAGTCACTGACAATGTGTATTTGCTGGGCAATTCATAAACAAAAAAGTTATGAATAATTGAAAAAGTACTATATTCCAAAATACTACCTATTGAAAATCTTTAAAATAGTGTGTTTTGACCTGGATGTCCTTCCCTACGTGTATTTGAATTTTTAAACAAACTATACTTAATGTAAACAATAACAATGAATGGCATATACATATACAAACACTAAAGAAGGAACAGTGGAACTTCTACTACTGCAGATCGTATCGCTATCACCGCGCTGGGGGGCATTTGTTGACGTAGCTTTCCACATTCAAATTGTGGTAGAGCCCGGCGCCGATGGTGTGCTTCAACATACTGCCCTCCAAAAACGAATGTTTTTAAAGATATTTTTAATATAGACGAAAATCGTACCGTATGATGACGCATTGGTTCAATAAGGCTTAAAGTTTCATGACGCTTAGGTCCAAGTGACGCTCGGGTCCAGATGACACTTGGGTCCAAATGACGCTGTGGTCAGACGGGTGGACGATTCGGTCCGACAGTACATGCATCGAGGTTGGACGCAGGGGTCCGATAAGTGAACGTTGTAGTTCGGTACGTGGATTGCAAGATCCCAAAAACACGGTCCGACAGGAGGATGCAGGAATCCGGCGAGTCGACGCACGGTTCCGGCAGGTGAACACAAGAGTCCAGCAGTGGACGCAGGGGTCCGATAGTGAACGCAGGGGTCCGGTAGTGGACGGTTAGGCCCGGCAGATCGACGCTTCGGTGCTGAAGATGAACCCAAGGGTCCGGAAAGTACATTGGGATCCAACAGGGACGTAGATGTCCAGCAAATGGTCCATTAAATCGATTCAGGAGTCCGGTGAATGGATGCTAGGCATGCGACGATGAAACTGAGTAATCCGAGTAATAGGATGCGAATGGCGCTGGATGAAGCTATTGCGATGGCTATTTTGTCGCTGCTCGCAATGATAATGTGCAATGGCGAAACTCGCTTTTCAGACCCATCAATGGCGATATCAACAATCAATACGAAACTAACGATTTTAAATTTGCTCACTACTTGACTAGCCTATTCGTCCCAAGCAAACGATTAACGTATCCCATTCTAGTCGAAATTCTAGTACTACGCAATGTTTGTTTTGATTCGCTATGAAAGTTTGACAGATAAAATGAGGGGTTATTGGTTTTTCCTATGTTTCGAGGGGTGAATCGATTAGCTTGGGACCGAAGAGAGTACCAGAGCTGAGCCAAAAAGTTGAGCACATTATTTCGGGACCTTCTAGTCTTGGAGTTACATCTATGGCGATATCCAGTACGTGCAGGAATTCATTCCAAATAATATCCTGGTCACGGCACCAATGTTTTGACCAGGATGTCTTTCTCTACGGGTATTTGAATTATAAAACAAACTATACTTAATGTAAACAATAACAATGAATAACATATACAGATACAAACACTAAAGAAGGAACAGTGGAAATTCTTCTACTGCAGATCGTATCGCTATCACCGCACCGGGGCATTTGTTGACGTAGCTTTGCACATTCAAATTGTGGGAGAGCCCAGCGCTGAAGGTGTGCTTCAGCCTCGGCTTCAGCATAGTGTTAATATTAAACACATTAAATTTACAACAAAAAAAGTTCTTAGTGCTTAGAGATGAACTAGCTTATGGCTAAAAATCTCTTAAATAAAGATAAAAAAAAGCTCTTTGTGCTTAAATTGCCCACAGTTGTTATTTTCGAGATACTCGGAGGTTAAAATTCACTAATCGTAGGTAAAAATTCTCACTCTATACAACAAGCGTTGAAAATCAAGCCACTGAATGTGTGGTACCTAATTGCATACTTAGGTACCGTAAAACGGGGTATCTTTGATAATGCGGGTAATTTTGATAGTATAATGTAAAGATTAAATTTACTCGCTGCGCTTTTTAAAAATTAGAAAAATTGGTTTCATGTTGTAGCTTAAGGTTGATATCGTATATAGTTTTTATAAAGTATGTGTTACATATTTAACAAACTAAAGCGACAGGGTGGACCGGTGCGAGCACCGGTCCACTTTGTCGCTTTTCCGAGTTTTTTCGGCCTTTTGTTAATTTGTTTTTAATAAATTAAATTTCATTTTTAAAGTAAAGTTACAATAATTATTATTCTGCATCTTGGGGGAGAGGTAGCTCATCGATTCTTCCGGTTCGCCTCCTAGCATCGTGCTATAAGGTACCAGGCGATAACCAGGGTAGTTGATCGATAGCTCGATGACGTCATTTCGTTGGCGTCTGCAATGGGAAATTCTCATTGCAGGCGTTGACGATGGGACGTTGTCGATCTGTTGAATAGCAACTATCGTAATAACTCACCGATTAAAGAGTGATACGGTCAAAATTTGGTCAAGGGAAAACGCGTGTAAATCGGTGAAATCGTTTATTTAAAAAATCAAA